CTGCTAGATCATTACCTTAGATATCATTGGGTCCAATCTCATCCATAAATCTAAAACTTAGATAAGGTAATAAGCCCCCACAATGCTCTCTTCTTCTCATTTCTCGAACCACCAACACAAGAAACCATGGCCTCCCCACCGCTGCTAACCCCAACAACATCCAAACTCAAACCCCTCATCCCCATCAAAGCCAAAGTCACACCCTCTCCGCCGCCGCACCAACAACCCTTAGTACGGCGCCAATTATTGTCCCTTGCTGCATTAGCCACCGCCACCACAGCAAGTCATTTTCTTGCAGGGCTGCTACCAGCATGTGCTGCCTCGGACGAGTAGTACGTGAAGGAGACTGCCGAAGTGATCAACAAAGTAAGAAGCACCATAAATATGGATAAGAACGATCCCAACATTGCGGCTACCGTAGCCGAGCTTCGAGAGACTTCAAACTCTTGGGTGGCTAAGTACAGAAGAGAGAAGGCTTTGTTGGGCAGAGCTTCTTTCCGTGACATTTACTCGGCGTTGAATGCTATTTCTGGGCATTATATTAGCTTCGGACCAACGGCGCCGATCCCTGCAAAGAGAAAGGCAAGGATTCTTGAAATGGACACTGCCGAGAAACCCTTATCTCGAGGAAGATAAAGAAAACCGCTAACTACCGGTGGCCAGCTACCACCACTCACCGAGGGAAGCCGGATTTTTTCTTTTTCTTTTCCCTTAAACTTCATGATTTAACTGCTTAAATAGTGCCTATGTAATTTATGAAGCTTGAGATTGTAAATTTGAGGTTCGGTGTGTGAATTATGAGAAGACATGTTGTTTCTGATTACAAGTTAAATACTATGTATAATACTTCAACCACACCAAAAATAAATAAAACGTTAACTTTAACTCCCAATGTTTATGTTTTTTTATCAATTTATCTTATATTCTTTTTATTAAATTAAATTTGATATTCCATCTTTCTTTAGTCAAATTAATGTAATTTCAATAAAAATGACGATTAAATTGTTAAATTTCCATGAAGCTAACATAATTTGTCTAACAATTCACGTTGATGTAACAGTATTTTAATTTATTGACATGACGATGTAACATGACCTTAATTTATTGACATGATGATTTGCGTCGTGTTATGTTATTTTGTAATAATTTATTTTTTAGATTTATTTACCGATATGACACTATGTTACACAAATAATGAAATATATGTGTACTATCATGCGAGTTTTTACATTTTTGGATTAATTTCGATATTCGATTTATCATCGACTAATTTAAATCAGATACTGCAGAGATTCGTTATGGGAAGAGCCCTCCTAACATAATTTACTTTATCACAACGTCATGATTTGAACTCTTAACTTAAGAAATTTTGTGCATCGTCTTATTAGACCAATCGATTGTTGGTTGCGAGTTGTTACGTTAATTCCATGTAAATTTAATGACCTAATAGCACAATTTTCATGAAACAGCAAAAAATAACAAAAAATAAATGAAGAGGACTAAACATATTATTATACCATAGAAACAGCAAAAGAACTGGAATTAATACCTTTTCTAAAGAATAAAACCCAAACAAATTAAAGGGGCGGTTATTGGGCAAATAAAAAAAAATAGAGTCCAATAAACAATATTTTGGTCAAATGTCCAACTGAAAACCAATTAGGTTCAATTTCATTCAAAGCCCAATAAAATGTTTGGTATTTATAATTGTTCCTCCAACAATAATTTTCTTTTGGTAAAATGATCTCTTTGGTCCTTTAACTTTATAAGTATAATTATTTTAACTCTTGAACTTCCTCAAACTTTTTTTTTCAAATTGACCCAAACATAAAGAATAGTAACACTATTTTATCTTTATTGAAATGTTGACATTAACTAATTTATCTTTTAATATCGCACCGTTAAAAAGAAAATACAAAAAATATTGTTAAACATTGTAAAAAGAAAAGTTGATGACAGTAATCTAGTAAGGAAAAATAACTATTTTTTTGAATTTTTTAAATGTTAAAAAATGATAAAAAAAAGTGATGTTAATTTAAAGTTATTCTTATTATTTTACATGTTTGGATTAATTTGATAATAGTAATAATTTAATTTTGAAAAGAAAAGTGGGTCTTGTATTACAACACTAGCCGGTCAAGTTGAAGGTAAGAATTAGGGGTGTTCATTTTTTGGTTTTAACTGATTTAATCGATCAAATCAAATTAGTTCGGTTAATTTTATGGTAATAATTTAATTTTGAAAAGAAAAGTGGGTCTTGTATTACAACACTAGCCGGTCAAGTTGAAGGTAAGAATTAGGGATGTTCATTTTTTGGTTTTAACTGATTTAATCGATCAAATTAAATTAGTTCGATTAATTTGATCGGCCACCAAATTAGTTTGATCGGAGAACGGTTAATAATTTTTTTAGAATTCAATTAACGGTTAATTCGATTCGAAATCGATTATTTAACCGAAATTAAATTTTAAATATATTATATATAACATATGAGCTCAGACCAAACCATTTAAAACACAATTAATAATTTAAGATCCAATAACTTTTAAACCTAAATTAATATTAATTAACAAATTCATATAAAAATTTTATTTTATAATTATATATTACTTAAATTAATTGTAATTTTCTTAATTAAAAAATATTCAATTTTTATATAAATTAGAAAAATTTAATTTTTTTTTGTTAATTCAAAAATTAACCGAAATTTATTCGATTCGATTAATATTTTTTTAAAAAAAAGATCAGTTCGGATAACGGTTAAAGAAAAAAAATTTAATTAATTCGGTTAATGATAATTCGATTCGATCGGTCACCGTTTTAACCGAACGAACACCCTAGTAAGAACCCCTTGGATTGCGGATGGATAAGAACATTAATGCCTTGTGTTTACTTGAGATAATGCCGCCATTTGATTAAAGGTTTTAGATTTCAAGTTTTTTCCGATATTGACATCACAACTTGCATTAAAATCATCCCTTAATTTAGGGTAAATTATATGAATAGTTCCTTTATTTTTTTGTTTGACCGACTCTAATCATCAATTTAAAAATTAAGTATATATGGTATCTAGTGTTATCGATCCGTTCGATTTTAGTCCCTTAAGCCATTAACTCTCGTTCGATTTTAGTCCCTCAGTTATGTCATATATTCGTTAAGGGTTAACGGTAGAGAGACTTAAATCGGACCGATAATGTTAGGGACCATTTACCCTTAATTTTTAAATTGGTTACCAAAGTCGGATAAACCCTAAACAAAATGGACTATTCGCATGGTTTATCCTTTTATCCTTAAGAGGTTAGGTTTGGACTCTCTGGACTAACTAATCGCAACAACTCAAAAGCTATACCCGAATCGCCAACATCTCATCTTCCAACGAATTTCTAATAAAATTGAATCCAATTAAAACAAATTAAATATTAATTATTTAGTTTTAATTGCAAGGCTTTCAGTCAAATATGATCTACAACTAATCAATTACTTCTTATCCATTGCTACGGACCATGTTATGTAGACGTGGAAAGAAAATTGGATCATATTAATATTACAGTTAATATTTTAGCTGTTGATGATTAGAAAAAAATAATAATAAAATGAGTTGTCTGTCCAGCTCAGTTGGTAGAGCGTAAGGTTCTTAATCTTGAGGTCCTCGTGGGATCAAGTCTCAAGGTGGGTAATTCATAATTATTAGAGGTCTTCCACGGAAGTTGTTCTCAACATAGCGTTGGAGTCAGCCTACTACCCTACCTCCTCTTACCTCATTACATATGGGAATAGGGTCAACTAATTTTTATTTTATCGGAAAAAAATTAATGAATGAAATAAAAAACGATAATATTTCGATGATTCAAGATGTAATTTATCCATAGAAATATAATATGATTACATGCTGCTCTTAATGAAAGCCTACGCATTTAAAAGAAGTTAGCAAAATCATTAATCAAATTAAAGGCTGCATTTATATTTTTAACTGTTGAAGGTTTAGGTTAATTAATTGGAATATGAATTTAATATTGGAAAAATACCATTACTAAAAGATTTTTTTAAAAAAATCCCTAAAATATTTGAGGAGTGGTTGCAAATAATAAATGAAATAAAAAGTGTAATTAATATTTATTTATTTTTAAAAAAAATACAATTATTGCTAACTGAAAAAAAATCAATCTTTAGTCCAAAATTATAACAAAATTTCAATTTTATTGATTTTGTAAGGATTTATTCAACTTAGGTCATAGATTAAGTCCCAGCAAAATAAAATTTATTGATATACTTATATACAGATTAAAAAGGAAAAATAATAGGATAAATTACAGTATTAGTCACTAAACTAAGAAAAAAATTATATTTTGAATTATTGACATCTCAAAAGTTGTAAAATGATAATTGAACTTTTGATTCGATTACGAACTAATCACTATGACGCTAGTTGTTATCAAAACTGTCTAAGAGAAAGGATGTTGCAGGTAAAATTAATAAATAATATTTCATTTAATTTTTTAATTATAATTATATTTTAAAATATACATATAGATACTAATTAAAGATGATTTAATTAACACCTTAACTTAAAAAGGTATTTATATTTAATGCTTATCCTTTTATTGGGACTAAACTAATATATGGTAATTTATTAAAATTTCCCTATTTATTAAGATATTTTTGTACACAAATTTAAGGACATTACTCAAAACCAGCAAATCTTTTACCCAGAAAACTTAGAATTTTTTCCATCGTTCTCTCGGATTTCCCTTGTTTCTCATATTACTTGGGCTGTTTTTGAAATAGACTTGAAGTTTGTATTTTTCTAAAGCTGTTTCTTCATTTTTGATTAGAACAGAGTCGGCTTTGAGTTTTGCATGACCTGGAAAGAGTTGAATCAGACAACATCGTCAAGTACCAACAAAGACTTGGTCGAATACAGAGATTTTTGTTTATTTATTTATTTATTTATTTATCTTCGTTCCGGTTTCTCGTCTGACTCAGATTTGATTTTTCTCCTACCGAATCTCGACCTGTCTTTCTACCCTTTCGTCCTGCTCTGTTCTCTGTGTTTCTCGTTAGAGTCATGAGTTTCGACGCTGGGTTAACTCGATCGAACCTCGACTGCTTTCTCCATTGCACGACACCAACAGTCAAATCACAATTCCTTCCCAAGGTTAGCGAAGGAGAGAAAAAAATCATTTTATTATTATGGGTTCATGCTCTGTTCTTGTGATTAATACTTTAATGTTTTATTTTGCAGAGTGAAATTAGGAACCTTAATCTTTTATGGAACTTTCGGGAGATAGAAAATGTGGTGTATTTCACATTATCTGATCTTTGGAGTTGTTATGATGAATGGAGTGCGTATGGAGCCGGAGTTCCAATCATGTTGAACAGCTACGAAACCTTAGTCCAATATTACGTCCCGTATCTCTCCGCCGTTCAAATCTTCACCAGCAGTTCTCCGGTCAACAGCTTAAGGTAAATCGATGTTTTTTATCAGCTGAAGTTCATGGCATGTGGATTGTTTGATTGATGCCTTGTTCAGGGAAGAGACGGATTCCTTCAGTGATTCGAGCAGCGACGAGAGCGTCACCGAAAAGTTATGGCGGTGGGACGGATGCTCGTCGGAAGACGGAAGTCCCGAGCAAGATAGCAGGTTGGGTTATCTCTACTTTCAGTATTTCGAGAGATCAACACCTTATGGAAGAGTGCCTCTCATGGATAAGGTAATAACTAATAAGAAAAAAAAATCTGGTTCTTGAATTTCTTCTGGAATTGTCTTTCAACTCCAAATTCTCTCTCTGTTGCAGATTAATGGATTAAGTGGAAGATTCTCAGGTTTGATGTCATTGAGAAGCGTTGATCTTTCTCCAGCCAGTTGGATGGCAGTTGCTTGGTCTCTCTCTCTCTCTCTCTCTCTCTCTCTCTCTCTCTCTCTCTCTCTCTCTATGTCTCTTTAACTATTAAATTTCTGCAAAAATTAAGCAACTTTCATGAAATCTCAATCTCGTCATCGTTTTGATCATTGGTTGATGCGTTTGATAATATCATCAGGTACCCAATTTATCACATTCCCATGGGCAGGACCATAAAAGATTTGTCCACATGCTTCCTTACTTACCACACTCTATCATCTTCTTTCCAAGGTCTCATTTTCAATCTATTTCTTTCAAGTTTTTGTTAAGAACGGTTTGGTTTGGGTGATGAATGTTTGTTCTAGGAGCAGATATGGACCCGGGGGACGACATCGAGGGTGCCGGAGATGGGGCCATATCGCTTCCGGCCTTTGGGTTGGCTACTTACAAGATGCAGGGGGACGTGTGGGTCTCGGGCAATTCCGGACGGGACGGAGAGAAGCTGGTGTCGCTTTTGAGCGTGGCGGACTCGTGGCTAAAGCAACTTGGGGTCCAGCACCATGACTTCGACTACTTTAGGGGGATTCGACATGGCTAATGTTATTATTGCTCCCAAGGAATTGACTGATTACACTAATTAAAAATCCAACAAAACAATCTCATTTATTCTTCTTGGAATTTTGGGGTTCTTCTTCTTCGGAATTAAATAGGTTCTTGAGCTTATGAGAATTGTGGTTGGCACTTGTTTTATTGTAAAGAACGAATGTTGTCCGACAAGTTTGTCGAAACTTTGTCGGATTATATAACATGTTTTCGCAAAGGTCCTTCGGGTGGTCCCATAATTGTATTTCGACTTGAATTGATGTGATGGAGTTGCCACCGATAATTTCGAATTAGGTTGATCGGACATCTAAAACCTACCATTTATCTAATCTGTAACTTATCATAAATTAGTCAGATTCGAGACTCGATTACAGTCAAAGAATGATGAGCATTCTTGTACTGTTCGTTCGGTACCAACACAATTACTCTGTTGTCTTAATTACGAAATTTGAAGTTTAAATTAAAATTTAAATGTTCTATCCAAATCACTTACCTTTGATAAGCTTTGATATTTAAGAAAGTCCTAAAAATAGAAATAAATGTTTAAAATAAATAAATAAATAAATAAAACATTGCATGTCAATTGACATCATATCGGATTCTCCACCACCCTTGAATGATGTCGCTAAGGTAGTTAAAGCATCCTCCATCTGGTTCTCTTCTCTAGGCAAGTAATGGAATGTGACTTTATCTAACTCTTCAATTAACTCCAAGATGAACTTTTAGTATTCCACCATCTTGGCGTCCTTTGTTTCCCATTCTCCTCGGAATTGATAAATCACTATAGCAGAATCCCCAGACACCTTTAAAGTCTTTATTTTTTGTCCAATAGTTGCTCGAAAACCTAAAAAACTACACGAAAACGCTCTTCACCCTCCTCTTTTAGACCTAAATATATGGTCCAAGTGACAAAAGAATGCCCCCATCGATGCAAATTGAAGCATGCAAGGCTCGAGTTTTACTTTTTTCTGACGACCGTTTGAGATCTCGACGACCGTTTGCTTTCCTCTGACGGCAAAACTAAGTGTTCACTTTTCTCCTACAATTTTTGGTATTTTTTTGGGTGATATTCGAATGTTTTTTAGCTTGATGCCTCCATTTCTTTGTTCTTCGTAGGGGATTTTATAATTTCGAATAAGAATATTGTCCCTTGAATCCTGTGATATCCTTGCATGGTCAAGAGATTTCTTTCCTCATTTTGTCTGATTCGGTTTGTACCGAAAATTTGGGAAATGATTGTTTCCTTTCATTTTGGATTTCGTTGACCTTCTTGTGATTTGGGTTACTTTGTTATGATTTTTTTAGTATATTGGCTCGATCTACGGGTTACTGAAAATACCAGAAATGATCTGTTTCCCCTCTGCTTCGATTTGATGTAGTTTGATTACCCACAAAATGGTTCTATGTGCTTCTGTTCTGTGCATGTATAGTGGTTCGTCGGCGCGTATTGCTTCTTTCACTGGCTCATGGTCTTCGCGCTTCGTTATTGATGACCCTTTTTACGTTTTGGACCGTTAGATCAAAGGGAAAATCTAATGGTCATCGTGCGACTGCGCATGTGCTATGATATTTTTAGGGTTAAAAACCCCATCCTTTGCACGATCTGGATCGTTAGCTTTCCTTTTGATCTAACGGTTATCATCATTGCGGCATTGAGATTATACACCAAACCCTAATAGACCTCCTTCCCTATTGGGCTTGATGGTTGTGTCAGGCTTGCTTGCTTAGTTTAGTATCCATGTGGACCTCAACATTGTCTTGGACCCTCACTGGACTTGGACCAGATTTAAATCCAAAAACAAAACCAAAATAATAACATTAATAATATTATAATATATATTATATGAATACTATAAATATTATATTATATTATATTATATATATATATATATATGTGTGTATACTACACATATAAATATAAATATTAAATATATTATATGTATATATGAATATAATAAAATACTATACATATATTATATAATATATATACTGTATAATATATAATTGTAACATCCTCAATACCGGGTTAGTGATCAAATTGTAAAGTTTTAGAAATTGGTGATTAAAGTAGGATAATTGAATAGTTCAATGATTTATTGGAAATATGATGAAGGTTATTTAGTAATTATTGAATGAATTAAAGGGTAAAATGGTCAATTGACAAGTAATATTTTTTATATTCCTTTTATAAGATAAGGAACCACGTGGGAAAATAGAGAATTATCCAGAGTTTTCTTTCTTCTTCTTCCTCCTCCCGTATCTCCAAGCTCAAAGGTGAGTTTCTTTGTTTATGAATTAATTGTTGATTTTAAGGTTGTGTTTTGATTATTAGATGATAACTAAGCTTAAAGAAAGCTTAAGTTATATTAAAATCAAAGTATGATGGAGTTAGGAGGGATTAAAGATTTGAGGTTCTTGGGTGAAATCTTGAAATAGAGTTCATAACTAGAGTTGGAAGTTAAATTTGACTTGTCAATGGTCTAGTTAAGAAGTTAGAAGCCATAGAATTGGAATTAAAACATATTGCAAAGTTGGTTTAATTCTTGAGTTACATATGAGGAAAAGAATTTTGAAGCTAAATATGGTTTATATGGATATAAATTGGTTTAAGCATGTGTATATGAGTTGAGAACATGAAAGGGGTTGAAAGATGAAGCATTTGAGTTGATTTGAGTAGATTTCGGGTTTAAAAATAAATTCTGAGATATGTGCACCGATGCATCAAGGGTAAATTTCCAGAAATTGTTCAGTGTGTATCGATGCACAGGAAGTGCATCGATGCACCCTTAAAAATGAAAACATCGAATGCAATTAATGCATCGATGCATAAGGAGTGCATCGATGCACATGTTAAGGGATGCATCGATACACTGTAGAATGCATTGATGCACTTCAAGGGAAATATAATTATACCTTTCTTTTGGTCTAAGAAATGATAGATTAGTGTATATCAATTGGATACTAATATGTATCAATGTATGATTATATAGATATCGAGCACGAACAAGTCCCAAAGCGATTATCAAGTTATGATTCGATCGTAAGAGAGGAAATTATAAAAATGGATTGGAACTTAGCGAGGCTCAGATGAGTGCATCTTATTTTAATATAGGATTATGTGGAAATTGGACTTGCGATAAGTCTAATTCCTATAGTTGTAGTGCATTAAGTCATGAATATAAGTATGTGAATTTCCTGATTTGTATGTATTCATGATTATATGTATTGATATGTTTTTGTATCTGCTATATGATTTATGTAAAAATACTATTATGTGATATATGAAAATATAATGTAAACTACATATAAATGGTGAGACGTGTAAATATATGTACATAGAGAGAAATAAGAGAATAAAATATAATCCATATAACAATGAAAGATGAGACTATATGAATACATGTTTATAAGATAGATTAGGTAAAAATAGGAGAATATGATATAAGTGAGTTTATGAGAAGCGATTTGAACTGGGTAAGCATGTATAAAAGTTATATGAACAATAGAAACATGAATTGGCTAAGTACATAGTTAGGTGATCATTTATATGCATTAGTATAATAAAATTATATGATTTAATAAGAATTGAGATAAACTAACATATAAGATAAGCTATAAGGGGAAAACTCATGTACTTGAATAAAATTATGACATATAAGGTATATGAAATTGAACTAAGTAAATAAATTATATTAATATATATATATAAGTGAAATGATAGAAGTGATACATGTTTATAAGTATGTCATAGATTACATGATATAGCTAAATATAATAGAATGAAGCTTAAGCTATATGAGATTATATAAGTTATTAAATATGATATATGTGATTATGAGAAGAAGAACATAAACCATGTGAATATAAGTATAGGTAAAATGATATATATATATGACTATGAGTTGGAATAATGTTATATGATTTATACTAGGATAAATTATGAGACTATATGTGAAATGAAATGAGTACATATTTATATGATGAGATGGTGAACTATATGAACATGTGAATATATGTCTATGAGAAGACATAGGAATAAGATATAAGCAAGGTGATAAGAAATGTGAAATGACGTGTAAAGTTAATATAAGTTGTTTAAAAGTGATATACATTATTATATGTATATGTGATTCAACTTATGTGACATAATCTACGTGTTTATGTGAAAATGTGAAATGACATAAATGATGATGCCCATGTTATGTGTCATGAGAGCTAGGGTATAGTTGGCATGCCAAGAGTCGAGGGTCTACGCGGTCTTTCGGGACATATATGTATTCTTTGAAACATGTGTGAGGTCTTTTGAGACACATACTTGATCCTTGGCATATGTATATGATTCTTAAGGAATGATATATGGTCCTTAGGGACAACCTTATATGGCACTTCGGTGCATTTCTACGCGGCACTACGGTGCAATTCTACGTGGCACTTCGGTGCATTTATACGAGTTGTGGTGACAGCATTAGTGCACAACCTCTATAGACTCACATATCTATAGTTCTCAGAAATGTACATGGGCTAGACAAAGATATACCAATAAATATATTACATGTGAAAAATATGCTTTTGTGATATATGTTGATATGTGTATTGCACGAGTCATATGATGATATGTGTATTGTTTGGTTACACGAAGCATATGTTGGTTAACAAGGTTAGGTTCAAGAGGATATGATCAACACATATAAATGATAATAATATGGATAGTGAAATAACGTTAATGATAGAAATGATGAGTGAGGAATATAAGTGTGTATATGTTTTTATATGTAATGATATATATTGCATATGTGTTATAGGGATTTGTTACATGAATAAGAGTATGAGTGATAATAGTAATGGTTCATACATGATTACAAGCTATAGTTTATATTTTATGTTATTGCCCCACTAAGTCATCGACTTAGCGTGTGATTGTTTCACACGTAGGTTACCAAAGTGAAAAGAGTAAAGAGCAATGTGGAGCAAGATAGGTCAGTTCTCCTTACCAAATGTCATATCAAAAGAAATGTAAATAATATGTATTTTAATACATAAAGTTCTAGTTGGCATGTAT